GGGTTTAGGGCCGAGGGTTTAGGGCTTAGGGTTTAGGGCTTAAGTCTCAGGGTTTCGGGTTTGGGGGTGTAGGGTTCACTTTAGGGTTGAGCGCTTAGGGTTTCGAGGCTAGGGTTTACTTTGGAGTTTCGGAATTAGGGACTGGCCTGACTTCTTTAGAGGATTTTGGGACCCTGTTCCTCACTCTCGCCAACTCCGTGGAGCTTCACTGTAAGGGGGCTCGGGGTGTTGTGTTGGCGATCAACGCTTTAGGGTTGAGGCGTTCAGGGTTCAGGGTTTTAGGTTTCAGCATGTTGGAGTGTCGTGTCTTGGGTGTAAAGATTTGGGGAGTTCATGCCGAAGCACCAAAACGATTGCAACAGAGTTTAGAGTTTGGGGCATCGTGGCCTCCCGCAGCAGCCACAGCGCCAGTGTCCACTGACTGGCGCGCTCACAGGCACGCATTACGCTGTTCGCCAAGATCACCTGAGCGGCATTCGGGAAGCAGATGACGGGGGAGGGATACTAGTACTAGTTATTTACAATTCTTCAAGCTTCTATAGTACCAGGGATCTGGTGGCAAAGGACCCAGACATCCATAACCCCAAACCTTGATAGGAGCTCATGCAGATACATCAACTCTCCCACCGCGGGATTCGAGTCTCCACGACGCGATATAGTATCCCCTTATATCTCTGTGTAGTGGTAGCATCATATGCCCAAAATACCCCCCAAAACAAAAAAGCTTCTACTTGCTATAACTGTACGGCTAGTGCCACGTATGTCGTTTATAGTGGCATCAACATTCCCAGCAGCCGCATATGTGTTCTCGCACTGGGAACCGTCACACTTCTCTGAAGGTCATTAACATGTCCTATAGGAACTAGTGCCACCCAATGCTTTTGATGTGATCCCGGTCATCGTTACCACGCCTCGTATTCGCGGGATGATTACATGGTGTCATCGTCCTGCTCTTTGTCAACCAGCGCCTAAAACCCTGCATCCTCAACCCTAAACCCTGCTCTGGCCTACACCCTATAAACCCAGAACCCTACACCCTAAACCTACACCCTACACCCTAAAATCCTACGCCCTACAAGCCTACACCCTGAAACCCTAAACCTCTACACCCTCAAACCCCAAAACCCCCGACACCCCATCCTCAGCCCGAACTCCGCCAAAGGGCTTTAGGAGGGACCCTTAATAGGGACCCTTTTAGGTTCTTGGGGTTAATATGGAGACTACCTGGCTATATAAGGGGTATATAAGGACCATACAATGGTTATTTAAGGTAATGGGATTAAGGGTAAACCCTAAACCCTAAACCCTAAACCCTAAACCCTAAACCCTAAACCAAAACCCAAAACCCTAAACCCTAAACCCTAAATTAGGGGTCCCCTAAAGTCCTTAGAAACTCTGCCAAAGGGCACTCCTGGCTATGCCAAGAGCCGCCGACTCGGCGAAGCAGGCCAGGGCCGACTCCTGAAAAGGCCGGTGCTTTGGGTTTAGGATTTGGGGACATGGGGTTTAGGGTTTAGGGTTTAGGGTTTAGGGTTTAGGGTTTGGGGTTTAGGGTTTGGGGACATGGGGTTTAGGGTTTAGGGTTTAGGGATAAGGGTTTAGGGTCTAGGGGTTTAGGGTTTAGGGTTTAGGGTTGAGGGTTTAGGGTTTGGGGACATGGGGTTTAGGGTTTAGGGTTTAGGGTTTAGGGTTTAGGGTTTAGGGTTAAGGGTTTAAGGACATGGGGTTTAGGGTTTGGGGACATGGGGTTTAGGGTTTAGGGTTTTGGGTTTAGGGTTTAGGGGTTTAGGGTTTAGGGTTTAGGGTTGAGGGTTTAGGGTTTGGGGACATGGGGTTTAGGGTTTGGCGACATGGGGTTTAGGGTTTAGGGTTTGGGGACATGGGGTTTAGGGTTTAGGGTTTAGGGTTTGGGGACATGGGGTTTAGGGTTTAGGGTTTAGGGTTTAGGGGTTTA